TACGCGAGATATTCTTACGAAATATGTAATCTTCTTTGATAAAACTATATAATAGAAAAAAAGATTGAGTTTCCAAAATAAATAATTGGCGAGCAACCACATCATTATGTAGTACTAAAATAGTGTTTAAGAGCGGTATCCTTTAACTTCATTCTGACTGCTTTGATTCGTCTTAGAAGTGACTAAGCAATATATGGATATAATGTATATAATACGCATGCATCAGCCACTTTATAATTTACATATCAACCATGAATAATCTTTAATCGTGGTGCGCGACGTTCTGTGGCATGGTCTGAAGAGAGACGGCTAAACTAACACGCTACACATAATATGTACAAGACATACTCTTTTCTTTTCAGAGTTATATACAATTTTACTCTTATATATATATATATATATGTATATATTACGATGTATGTGCAAAATGAATTGATAGATTTATTAAAATAGACAGAAGTACATTCCTCTGTAAAAAATGCATCGTATTCCTTAACATCGCTCGGTATTGGATTGATAAAAAAAGATGTTTGTACTTTGTAGTTGCTTTCTCCTTTCAATATATCTGTATTAAGTTACTCTGTCGAAGCATATCTGTAAAATGCGCCTAAATTGTTATTTTTATTTAACATTTAAGTGAACTCATTTTCATGTAATAGTTTGTATGTGGCTGATGCATCTGTATTTGTAATGCAGAGTAGCATGGATTTACAAATAATGTTGTGGTTGAAAGAAAAACTTCGTAAAAAAACGTTGCAAAAAATATGTCACGCATTTATGAGTATGTATAGGTACAATATACCCACATTGAGTTTTCCTTGCATGTGTCAGGTATATATAATATATATAATATAAAACACAAAGAATAGGCATTATAAAATTAGATGCTGTTTATTTTAAACAGACAAATCCATTCTAGAATGCAGTTTATATGTAGGATTTTTAATTATTTATATATGCATATAATCTAATTTAAATATTATCTATTTTATTAGAAGTATTAAAATTAAGCAATGTCTTGTTCATTCTTATCAGAATATAATAATGTATATTCTCCTCGATATCATAACTTTTGCTCTTGAAATATTTATCTATATATTATATATTATTATACATAGATAAATATAATGAACAGAGTTTGTAATTAAATCTCTTATAAAT